TCCTCCGTATTCCACATCTCCATGTCATCATCCCCTCCTTCCTCCTGGCCATCCGGCTCCTGATCATCGCACACCAGGCCCGATCGTTGGAATCGGGGGCAGGCTGAAAAAGGAGGAGTCCTGCTGTAAGTCCTTTTCCCTCAAGGACTCTCTCTTCCAGGATCCTCCTCATCACCATCATTACGGCTACCTCTGCCAACGGCTACACAGGGAGAGGAGGCAACTACTGGGTGAACACGCTGTGGGCCCGCTGAGGAGGAGGAGGAGGAGGAGGAGGAGGAGGAGGAGGAGGAGGAGAGGGAGGAGGAGAGGGAGGACGACTGCGCTCGGCAGGCGCCGCGTGGAAGCCCGCGGGCGGCCCCCCAAAAAAATGTCCTTGGGCGACTGGCAGATGATCGGGCAGGGGCCAATGCGGGGCAAACACCCCCGGCTGAGCGGACCTGCTGCCGACGACGACTGCGTTCACGTGGCAGCCAGGGCAACAAAAAATGAGTGGCGAAAAGCTGGAACGCACGCACGCAAGATATTGCAAGCAGAAGCAGGAGGGTGGCTGGAGTGCCCTCCGCCACCGTCCAGCAGCATCATCAAGCAGAGGCATCAGATGTCCCTGGCAGTGTATTACGAAGAGATGCCCCTCCTTATTCTCACCGGAATGGGGATCGGTACAGCGATGGCGGCCAACTCTGGGCCCATCGCTGAATGGGGAATTTGGCATCTCCGTCGACTGGCCCACGATAGCGCCCTGGCGAACCGTTTCACGGGAGTCTGGAAGCGCTGGCAAGTTCGCCTCGTGCAGGCCCCGCAGCTGTGGAGCAGTTTCCGAAGACCGACAGATGTGTCTCGGCCGACGGTCCAGCGGCTTGACTGACACTCGCAAGCACCACTCTCGCTCGGCGTAAACTGAGCCATCGTAGTTCTCAGCGTAGCTGACCCTTGGAGGTGGCTGCACGCGAAAAGAATTACCTAAGGAATTCGAGACCCAGCTACAGCGCGCGTGCACGCATCCAGCGCTGGGGGAGAGGGGGGGCGAAACAAGAAGCATCGTGCCACCTGCGTTCCATCGAGCCAGTGAGAGCCCTGATGGCGTGCCTGCGAACCACATTTTCGACAGCTCGGCACCGCACCAGCAGCGCTGGATGAGCGGTGTGGCGCCAAGTAAGCATGCACCGTGAAGGAATGGCCGACTTGAGCGCCTACGCACCGCCTGATGAACGATTTCTTATTCGGCGTTTGGACATTGGGCGGAAGGGGGGGGATGGGGAGAGGGTCTGGCTCCGTACCTCTGCATAGAGCGACTGTTTGCAGCAGTGCGTCCCATAGGGTAGACTCCAACTGCTTGAGACAAGCGCCAAAAACAGCCAAGATCTACTCCGTGGGGGGGAGGGGGACAGGGGGGTGCGAGTGCCCGCGCCGATCGGCAAAAATATGAATAAGAAAACGATCACCTGGCCAGACTGCCAAAACAATGTCGATGGTTTCGCCCGGGGAGACCTCCGAAGTGGGCCTGGGCCAGGCGCCTCGTTTAAGAGCACGGTGGCCGCGGGCCCATCTCGTGAGGTCTGTGAGCGACGGGCGCACACAAATCCTCACAAAGAAGCGTGAATGATGGGACAACCACTGTTCCGGGAATCGGCTGGCCAGTGTAGGTGTCAAGCTAGGGGCGGCAAAACATCTCGCCCGCCCTGGCACGTAGAGGTCTGGAGTATACGATGCAATGTGGTGCCAAAGTCCTCACCCTCTATTCGCAGACGCGAAGACACGAAGTTTTGAGAGCTCCGATGTAGACGGATCGGGGATCACGGTGGCGGTGATGGGCGGGCCTTGAAAATGCACGGAGAACGATGGCGCGCATTCTGTCGTAACTAATGGGCCCCAGTTTGGAGGTCATCCCAATATTTCGAAGGCAGGAAATCGAAGAGAAGGGATTTGTTCTGGATGATGCGGAGGCCACTGAGTACTCATCATGCTCCTCCCCATCCGCATATCCTGCCGATCATGGCCCAAGAACCATCTCAGGCTTGCGGGATCAGTGGATGTATCCAATCACCCACTACATGGGCCATAGACCAGAACATTGACCAAAGGGAGCACTGGCTGACAACGCCCCCCCCTTGCGATGTCCTCATTTGCGGCGGGCCTCGTCCCTCAACGAATTCACCGCCCCGCCCGAGCCTTCGGTCGGGAAGTCCCCCCGAAAGAGTTCCCCGCCCATCCCTCCCCTCCGAAATGCTCTCGCTGGTGAGCTGATTTTCCACCACCAGAAGAAAAGGAGGAGGAGGAGGAGGAAAGGAGGAGGAGGAGGACCTCTCCATCCTCCCTTCTCCCCCGTCCTACCTGTGGTAGTGGTGGTGACAATTGGCCCATCACTCGCGGGGAGCCACATGCTGGCGGGGACCTCCGCCCGCCAACCCCCCGTCGGGCCCGCGTCCTTCAGCACGATGCAGGTGAGTATGGACAGCGCCGTGGTGAACGCGTCGGTCGGGACCGGGAGCCGCCCCATCTCATCCTTTTGGGAGGTCGGCAGAGCAGGGGGCAGATGAGCGGCGAACGAAGGGGGAAAGTGAGAAGGAGAAGGCCTTCTCAGAAGGCGGCGGGGCTTCTCAGAAGCCCTCGCGCCTTCGGAGGAGTTCTTGTTTGTCTTCGGGGAAGGCTTGGAAAATTTCTCAGAAGGCCGGGGGACTCCTCCTTCTCCTTCCGAGACGTCCTTCTCCTTCTCACTTCCCCCCCTCGCTCGCCGCCGAGAAGAGGTGGGACGGGGAAGTGGCGGAGCAGGACAAGGGCGACAGGTGGGAGGGGGGAGGGGGAGGAGGGCGAGGGACGAGAAAGGGGAGACAGAGCGGGGAGGGGGGCAAGGGAGGGAGCGAGAGAAGGGGATTGGAGGAAGGCGGAGATGGGAAGGGAGAGGCGCATCACGTCGAGAGAGGCTCGGTGAGCACAGGGGTTCCTCCGAGCCCCTTGGCCGCAAGCAGATGCGCGGAGCCCAAGCTCGGCAAGGGTGGTAGCAACAAGTGAGCGGCCCCACTGCTGGGAGACAGACACGCCAAGGAGGCCGCGGCACCATCTCGGCAGAGGCAGCCCCAGGAGGCCGCCAGGGCAGGCGCCTCCATGATGTCCAAGGAGCGGCGAGCAACTAGGGCCTCCTCCTGTCCTCCTCCTCCTCCTCATCCTCCTCCTCCTCCTCCTCCTCCTCTTTCTCCTCCTCCTGCTCCTCCTCCTCATCCTCCTCCTCCTCCTCCTCCTCCTCCTCCTCCTCCTCCTCCTTTCCCTCCTCCAGCCAGATCACATCGGCCCAGACGGGTTTTGACCTGGCAGATTCCTTAAACTCTCCTTCTTTTCGCACTACATGTCCCACCAGCACCAATTCAGAGGGTTGCATCCACTGGGGGAAGATGATCCTAGATTCCGGCGTTGGCTGAATATGACCACCATCACCGAAAGCGGGATCACCTTCCCTCGGTGGAGGCACGCCCCCGATACTGGTGATGGTGCTAAACTCTACGCCTGCGAACCCTTGCCTGCTGGCTGCTAGTCTGAAACCCTTTTAGCTCTCCGAGGAGCTATCCGGGAACAACAGAAGCGCAGGCATCAGCCATGCCACTCGAGGTTCGCCACAGCAACTGAAACCTTTTCCGACCTGGAACCCACAAGGGGCACATGCCCGTTACACTACACCTTAGGAATGGTTACGTCGCCGAGGTGGTCTCTCCGAGTAGGCCGCCGACTGCTAAGCCGGTTCGCCCGATGCTTGACGTAGGAATTCAGGTATAGGAATATAGGAACCCACTTTGAGCGCGTCCATGGACGACTTCCAGCTCAACCTTACCAAACGCAGCCCGATCTGGATTCACGACAACAGGTTGCGACGCAACGTAGTGACATCCTCTGGCGCGTTTTGCCTCTGCCCAAACCCTGTAAGGTTCAACTCCTCGAAAAACATATCCGCGCACTGCCCACCCAATGGGCGCGCATCAGCCTCAAAGCGAAAAATACCCGCGTCTGCCTTTCCCTGGTGATTTTTTCCAGAAAATGCTTGCCCAGCTTCATCGGATCAAACCGCTGACCACATTTTGCGGGCGGGGGTCGCCAGTGGCAGCCGTGCCGCCGGCTCCGCCCCTCACGGGAGCTCCAGAGGAACCGTCGGGCTTGGCGTCGGGCGAGGCGCGCGGAAGGGCGTTGGAAAAGCTGTCGGGAAGGCCGTCGGGTGCGCCGTCGGGTAGGGCGTCGGGAAGGGCGGCGGACAGGCCGAGGAAAAGGCCGCTGGGCATACCGTCGGGTTGGGCGTCGGGCAGGGCATCGGGTAGGGCGTCAGGTAGGACGTCGGGTAGACGCGTTGGGCGTCGGGTTGGGCGTCGGGTTGGGCGTCGTCGGGTAGGGCGTCGGGTAGGGCGTCAGGTAGGACGTCGGGTAGGGCGTCGTACCCGCCGCAATATACAAGCTCAACCCAAGGGACGCCAGGTTGCCCTTCTGCTGGCCGTTATATCGAAGGGGGCCTGTGAAGCAGCCCCCCTGGCCACCGCGCACCTGCAGGCTCTTGTAACCACCATGACAGATTCCTGATCCCGCCCAAAATCCGCTGCAATACCCTCACTCACGGCCATGGTGGGTGGTGGGCACAACGGCCCAGCAAGCGTCTCCATACCTGTAACTGTTGTGAGCACATGCATGGCAGAACTTCGCATGCGTGCAATCGCCATCTGCACATAAGATGGTGCAAGCCAGACCGCTACTCGTCACCTGTTCAACGTTGATCTTCAAATCTCCATAGCGCGAACTCTGAAAGAACATGCTGGAACCGTTCGAAACGTAGAATTTGATGTCATTGCTATTCCACTCCAGCCGAATCTAGTTTCCCCATTGCAATAGACATCGTAGTTGAGGGTTCTCTCGTCGCCATTATCTCACAGGGCGCTGTTACAACAGCCTGCGCTTTTAGAGAAAACGAGGTTCCAAGTTCAACCATCACTCATCTTTCGTTTTTGCAGGTTTGGGTCACATTCAGA